ATGTCTTAATATTATTTTTTGCAAAACTGATGACATTTAAACTATAACATATAAGTTTACACCCTTAAGTGGAATCTTATGTTCATCATAATATACATGACATGAGAGATTTAAAAATTTTAGAAATTTTATAAAATTACATATCGTAAAATTTCTTTTTTATTGGCACCGTCAGCACAATTGTCAATACATGTAACGGACAGTGAATATTCGTATCAGTTCAGAAGCTATGACTACACATTATGACAATTGATATCCTCAACCAATGTCCTTGTTTGCCATTGAAATAAATGTTTGCATTTGGCAGTATGGAACACTGGGTCTTCCTTCCTGCAAACAGTCAGACACAGGAACGATGATGCACATTTACATTTATGAAAAGTTCGACAAATGCAAGAAAAAAAGATTTTAACAATAAAAAATAGAAATCAAAAAAAATATTTAAATAATGTAAATTCCATTTTCCTTTCGACTTAACAATTCTTTGTATTTTTTCCTTGGCGTGGTAGTGCTTGGTCCATTCTTCTGTTCATATTCAGCGTTTGTAAAATATTTACAATAATGCCATTGAAAAGTTTCTTCACTTTCTTCATATTATTCAATGAAAGTTTAAAATAGGTCAAAATTGTTATGAGTTTGTATGGAAAATGGACTGACAGTAAAGTACATATATGTGTGAAGGTGTTGAAAACTTTTAGAGATATTATTACTTTTAATTAACTCTTCTAGTATATATAATCGTTGTTTATTACATGCAACAGTGTATTGATAATTCGATTATATTGTTGAATAACATTGCTAACATCATTTTACAGTGTGGGTTAACATATCTTTATTTAAACTTCACAGGAATTGATTTCTAGCCCTAGCAGTAATACAGAAAATTCTTCAATCCGAAAGAGCCAACCTTAATTAATAATAAATTTTTTTAGCATAAATTGATTCAAAGGTCTATTTGAAAATAGAACACTCGTTATTTAATATTCAATAACAATCAGTAATTTATCTACAATAGGCAATGAAGAACCACTTTAATATGTTAACTACCAGTGCATCGAAGCTAAACAATTTGTTGCAAAATTTAATATTATTTATTAAATTTTCAAATGCTCTGCTGGTCGAAAATTAACCAAACTCAATTAAATCTCAGAAGTAGCTGTTTCATTTAATTCTTTTAAACCTTATAAATTAATTAAATTGTCGCAGTTTTAGTTATAGATTGAAATTTTAGCAGTAACAGAATTTCAAGTATTATTGTTTATGAATATCAATAAACTGTGGACATTTTATTAGTGTCCTAACTTTTTTGATAGACTTTATTAATGGGTCGAAAATTAGTTTTGCTATTAGAACTAAGTATCAGTTTTCATATTTGTTTTCAAATATAGTCTATTTAAGTAGTACATTAATTTTTTTGAAGTGGTAAATAATACTTATTGATCTTTATTAAACTTAACAGGCTAACCACCTATCTGGTACCAAAACTCCTTGCCAGTTGGCAATAATATGCAATACTATGCGAATAGCGGTATTGGGAATGCTACTTTGACTTCGAGTTATAAGAGGATATTGTTTTACACTATTTTTAACTTTGTTTTTAGTAGCTTTTCTGCACAATCTCGTTAAGGACAATCAGAACTGAAAAGTATTATTCACATAAATTTAATGAAGCTGGCACAATTTTGTTTATTCCATAAACTTCAACGATTATTTTTAATTATTATCTAATTAACAGAAAAGTATGAATGTCCTTTTTAAAAGAATGATATATATGACAAGTAATAATTGGCGAAAATGGAAGCTGTAGGAATGCAAAATGTCTCGTAATTAGCGCATCGATTTTTTAAATTTTAACCGAAAGGATAACTTCATCAAAATTGATAAAAATCAAAGATATAATAAAATATTAAGAGTTACTTTAAATTAGTACTGAATACAATTTCAAAAAGTCTGTTAATAAAATGCTTAAATTACAATAGATACTATGAAGTTAAAGTCATTAAATGAAAGGATGTCATTCGATAATACATTTTTTTCTAATCCTTGAACCACAATATAAATTAAATGGTTAAATATAATTTATTTATATATTTTAGTAGTAGGATGACAATTTATGGAACAGTAACGACTCAAAAATTAAAACAAAATTAAATATAAAGTATTATACATTAAGACCGAAAAGCTTTCGGAAATTCTCATTTAAAATTCGCGCGCTGTATATTTTCCGATATTTTAAGTTTATGTAGTTTGGCAGCACTGTCCTTAATTACTATGCCAAAAATGAGCGCGATCTGTCAGACAGTTCGTTTACGGCAGCTGTTGAAACCAGTTCACCTCAGTAGGGCGTTGCGAAAAAAACAATGGAAAAAAATATTGAACAAAGAGTTTGCATCAAATTTTGTGTTTCGAACGAAATTTCGTGTGCAGAATCGTTGCGAATGCTACAAAAGGCTTATGGGGAATCAGTTTTATCGAAAACTCAAGTTTATGAGTGGTACAAAGCCTTCCAGGACGGTCGTACGACCGTCGAAGACATTTCGCAACGCACTACTGAGGTGAACTGGTTTCAACAGCTGCCGTAAACGAACTGTCTGACAGATCGAGCTCATTTTTGGCATAGTAATTAAGGACAGTGCTGCCAAACTACATAAACTTAAAATATCGAAAAATATACAGCGCGCGAATTTTAAATGA